GTCATCGGTACCAACTCCACGAACTCCTCGGTGACGGTCAATGTGTCATCAACTCCGCGGATGAAAATTGCCAGTTGTGCAACATCTGTAATGTCGGTGCCTATCAATTGCAACTGAAAACACAATAAATGACTATTTTTTGCTTCAACTGTCCAAATCCGCTGAAAGATCAGAAATCCTGTCGGCAACTGTGTTTCTTGTCAGGCTGATATTTGCAAAGGCCTGGTGCTTTTCAGGGCACACAATCTCCAATGCCTTCATCATACATGTTTGTATGAATTCACCCTCACTAAATGGTTTTGAAGCTAGTGCAATGTCGTTAGCAGTGAGGTAGCTAGCTTTCACTGCAGCGTCACTGATGTCTCGGCTGTAAACACATACTGCTGTTTCTTCAGACCCGCCAACAGTTCATTCACCTTCTCTCTTCTCCGCTGTCCTTGAAAGTTGTCATATTTGTCGGCATGAAGACTCACATAGTGGCGACGGAGGTTATATTCTTTCAGCACTGCACCATGCTGGGAACACACCAAACATACAGCTTTCCCATTCACTTCCGTGAATAAATAGGAGGATGACCGTTTTTTTTTGGAACACTCTGCATCCACGTTTCTCTTTTTTGACAGAGACATGTTGGGGCAATGAGGGTGCCAAAGCACATCAGGTTTAAATTTCGTGGGCAAAACAAAGTAGCTCACAATTGCTATTGCGCCATCCAATGGACACAATTGGAACAGCAGTTTCTTTATTGAAAAACTGCTGCTCATTTTTATACTTTACAAAATCATCTCACGGGCCGGATTAAACCCGTTTGCGGGCCTGATCCGGCCCGCGGGCCGTACGCTTGACACCCCTGCCTTAAACAAAAGCGCTGCTTTGCACACTAATTGCAATTATGCAACACTCTTACTCCTTTATGCAACACACACGGTCCTGCATACTACACTCTATTTCATACATAAGACACTTCATTCACAAAATGAAATTTCAGGGTGCCATTCGGAAAACACATGTATCCAAAATACAAAACACATCGGGTAATTGCAACCACTCAAATACACACCTGAAGGCACTTACTTGCAAAACTGAACACCAATTAGCCAACTACAAAAAGCCCACAGTTTAGCCAATTCAAGAACTTTGCAAGCATGGATGGAGGGAGAGCAAGAGGAAGAGGAAGAGGAGGTCGAAGAGGCCATGCACGGACCCATATTTCTGATGATATAAGAGCAACTTTGGTGGACCATGTCATCAACCATGGCCTGACTATGAGGGAAGCTGGGCAGAGAGTCCACCCACATCTAAGCCTCTTCACAGTGGCATCTGTAATACCACGGCAGTGGTAAAAAAGGCCCAGCAG